GCGGACGCGGGCATCGCCTCCCGCCCGCTCCGCTCCGCGCGCCGGCCGTCGAATGGCCTGCCGCCGCCTTGGCGCGTGCCGCCGCCGGCAGCCCCGCCGACGCGGGACGCCTAGAAGCGGAAAGGTCGCGGAAGGGTCGCGGAAGGGTCGCGGAAGGGTCTCGCGGAATGGTCCACAGCCCCACCGCCGCGGGAGACGACGCCTCCGGGAAGCTCGCCCCTTCGCGCCGGGCGGCGGCCGAAGCGGGAGAGGGCATCGGGTACACGCCGCCAGCAGCGGAGCGCGTGCCTCCCCTCGCGCCTCGCCGGAGCTGCGCCTGGGAGCGGGAAGAGCGGAGAGCGGAGCAGCAGCTGCCCACGCCGCCGCCGCCGCCGCCGCCGCCGCCGCCGCCGCCGCCGCCCATCACTGCCGCTGCCGCCGCGTCGTCCCCCTCCTCGTCCTCCTCTTCCCCTCTCCGGCGCCCGTCGCCCGTCGCCAGCCGGCCTGCGAGCGTCGCCGCCAGCGAGCGAACCTGCTCCCAATGGCTGTGTGGTGTGGGGACGCGCTCTGCACGACCCCCTCCCGTGAAGCAGCGGGCAAACCTCCTCCCGCACCGCCGCAAGGTCGGAGGTGATCTGCCGCACCTCCGCAGACACCCACCCCGCCGCAGCCTCGCCCGCCGCCGCCGACACCGCGCCCGCAGCCTCGCCCCCCCGTGGTTGTGGCGGGGACACCAGCCCCACACCAGCCGCACCCGCCTGCGCCTCTCCGCCCTCCCCCCGGGGCGCGCCTCGGCCTTCGGGCGGACCCTCCGTACCGCCACGCGCCGCGCCCTCCCCACGGAGCGTCTCGTCGCACCTACGGCGACCCCAAGCCGCGCCCGTCTCGTGCCACCAGAGCCCCGGGACGCTCCTCTGAAAGAGGGCCGGCTCCACCCGCCGCCGCCGCCAGCAAACAGGGACGCGTCTGACTCGGCAAACACGCGCCGCTCGGCAGCCGGCCGCGCGAGCGCCGCGTCGCCGATCCGCCTGCGGGCGCGTCGTGGGCGTGTCGGCCGACGTGTTCCGCGGGCGTGTCCCGCGGGCGTGTCGGAGGGCGTGTCGGCGGGCGAGTGTCACGGACGTGTCATGGACGTGTCATGGACGTGTCATGGACGTGTCCTCGGGCGTGTCGGCGGGCAGAGGGGAGGCAGCGGTGTCGACCGGCGTGCGGATGTCCGATAGGGGAAGGGCGGGGACCGCGGTGGGGGAAGGGCGGCGATGGGGAGAGGTCTCGGAAGGGTGTCTAGGACGTGTCCAGGACGTGTCTCGGAAGTGTCGCTGCGCCTGGCCTCCGCAGGGTCGACCAAACCCGCAAAGTCGCCCTCGCCCGCCTCAGCAGCGACCCATCCGCCCGCCTCGCCCACCGCAGCGACCGCGCAAGCCGCAGCCGCCGCCGCCGCCGCCGCCGCTGCCGCACCACCACCACCACCACCACCACCACCACCACCACCACCACCACCACCCGCAGCAGCCGGGACAGCTGCCGCGGACGACGAGGCTGCCGGCGGCGGCGAGCGAGATGGGCGAAACGGCGGCGCGTGCGGCGGCGCAAGTGGCGGCGCGGGCGGCGGCGGCGGCGGCGGCGGCTGCGGGTGTTGCTGCTGTTGTTGCTGCTGCTGCGGCGGCTGTGGCGGTTGCTGCTGCTGCTGCGGTTGTTGCAGCAGCAGCTGCTGCTGCTGGGTCCGCGTTGGCCGAGCCGGCGGCGCGTCCCTGCGCCTCGCGTCCCGATGCGAAACTCTGGTCTTGGAGGCGGTTGGCGCCTACGAGGACGGCGTTCCGAGCGGGCTCCGAGAGGGCTGCGAGGAGAGCGATGTCTGGCTCTGCTCTTTGCGGGCGAGCGCCGGAGGGAGGGAGAGACTACCCGGCGAAGCGGCGGCGGCGGCGGGAGCGGCGGCGGCGCTCTTCGGCGGCGCGCCCTTGCCTCGCGCCTACCGACGAGAGATCCGAGGGGGGGGGGGGGGGGGGTCCCCCAAAAGCTGCCTCCCAGGCTCCCAGGGGCAGCCTTGCTTCGCGCCTGCGCGTACCCCCGGGAGGGGGGGCGGCGCCCCCTCCCCCCTGCGGGCTGGGGTGATCTGGGGCGGTCTGGTGTGATCTGGCGTGACATAGTATGGTCTGGTGTGATCCGGTGTGATCTGTGTGATTTCGCACGCGAAGCACGCGCTGGGGCGCGCCTCTTCGAAGCCGGCCTTGGCGTCTTGGTAGCCGGCGGCGACGGCAACGCGTCGCTTCGCCTCGTCGTAGCCCGGCCACGCCTGGTCTCGGGTCAAATCTCGGTCAAATCTCGGTCACATCTCGGCCGAATCTCGGCCGAATCTCGGCCAATCTCGCCGCAGCCGGGCCACGCCTGCGCGTGCCCCACAAACACATCGCGCGACAGCGCCCGCACCTCCGCCTCGAGCGACTGCCTCGCCGTGACGTCCTGAGGCTTTGCCGCCGCCGCCTCCGCCTCCAGCCTGCAGTGCCAAACATGCGAGGCTACCGCGTGCGCCGCCATCGCACCCCTCCGTCTCGCGCGGACGCGGAGAGCTGCGGGGCGCGGCTGTGCGCGTGTCGTCCCGGCCGCCCGGCGCGATGCAGGAACAAGCCCCCCTTTGCGACTCCGCATTCTACGCCCCCCGCGCCTCACTAGCCGCCGCAGCTGCGCCTTTGTCGACGGACCGAGCCGTGGCTCTCCCTCCGCCGCTCCGCCGCCGCCCGCCGGGCGCAGCCACGCGCGGACGCGCCCAAGCTGCTCCTCCAGCGCCGAGAGCGGCAGCGTCGCCGCGCTCGCCCGCCGCTCCAGCCTCCTCTCCTCCTCGCGCAGC